GTTTTGCGGATGGATTTATTTCTATGCATTCGTTTAAGCAGACAGACGTGCAGATGAAAAGCTTACGAGCAATGCGAAGTTAATCGAAGAAGGAGAGTGAACCAACTCACATGAGCTGAAGCAATGACTAAGTATTGATACTTTATCGTTCGTCACATACTAAATATTCACAAAGTGTATATGACATTATTGTGGAACCCTTTTTCTAGTTACTCATCATTTTTCAATACATTCTTGTTTTTTAGTATGGAGTAATTTGACCTTGTCTCAGTCTGTAACTTTGTGCTTTTTTGATTAAATTATTTTCTCATCAATATTTTTTGATTGCAAAAAAGTGCTTGTTACCATAACAAAGTGCGGATGTGATGGAATTAGCAAAACTTATTGATTTATCTTGTAGACTATGTTAGAGAAAAATGTTTCTTCTGACTCAACTGTCCAATCTTTTTTTTCATCAATCTATATATAGAAGTAAAGTTTTCGTCCAATTAGAGAGTAAAACCAACGAAGTAAATAAGATACGGTTTGATACGGTATGCAAAAGTACTTGTTTTCTCAGTTCTGGCTTTCTTGAATACCAGTTCAATCAATCAATCAATAAATGAAGAAGAATTTTAACACAAAATGCAAACGTGTCACAACTCGTTGGATTTGGTTGAAAATGAATTTGGAATGCAGTGTATATTTATCTACAATGTTATATTACAGTTGGTACCAGTAAATTAATCATTATATCACACAACATTTTTCTATTGTTGTGTTAAATAATTCTTCAGAATTGGTAGTTATGCATATGTTCATCGTAGAACACCTCTCCGGCTTCAGCCAACTAGTCTGTAACATACTCTTCATTTTTTTATCTAGTCAACATAAGTTCAAAAGTAAATGGGAACCAATCAAATCGAATACTGATTTCATACGTTGTTGTGGGCAGGGTGAATCATGTATATACATATAATTTGTGACATTTTAACTTGTACATGATTTAGAGTATCTAGGTTTATGCAGATTATTGAATGTTATTGAGATCACTAACTGACATTCAACAGTCTCCACAAACCAATGTACTGAAATTTAACATAAGCTTCCTAATGAATTGTTTTGAGAAGCAATTTGTAGAGTTCTGATGAGACGTGACCACTGGGAACAAACATATCAAGTATGAAATAATTCAGTACTAAGGACAATGAAAGATGGTTAAGAAATATCACATCTTAATAACCGGACTCCGTTACAGTGTTCTGCAAGCCGGTCATGGATGCTCCGCGTGAGGAATAGCATACCAGGATAAAACATATATATATATATATATATATATATATATATATATATATATATATATATATATATATCATGAATCAATCATTGTTAGACCCCCATTAGAAACCTGAGAGCACTAGATGGCCGTTTCGTCCAGGTATGGGACTCATCAGTACTGCGCATCCACGACATCTGTACTCGCAGGATTTAAACCCAAGACCTTCTTTCTTGCACACAAATGCCTAACCTCTAGACCTCTATGTTTAAAAGTAATTATGTCCATAAGTTTAATTGAAAAATTGTACAATGTGCTCACTAGTGATTAGCTTCTTGAGGAAATTCTTGGAGTTCTGATGAGAAAACGTGACCAGTGGAGTACAACGCTATTGGATGTAAGCAGTAACTACCGTTGGATACCGGCCCAATTTTACAGGAATATCAATTAGATGATTTTGTTTTGTTAACAAATGCAATCAAACAAATGAACAGAAACTTCAAGAATGGATCTGAAAAATTTCAAATATGAAGCTAGTTTAGAAAAAGTAAGATCATTCATTCTTTAATAATGTTAATTAACGGGACTTTCCTATTGGATTGTATATCTTATGAACGAAAACAAAGAGGAAAACATCAGGAGTATTGTTTTCTTTGTGGTTAAACTGAAAAACAGAAACCAACAACATATATATATATTTTCTTATTGCTTTGATCAGGTTCAAACATGATCAGTAGAGTAATCAAAGTCATTGATTAGTCATTCAACTGATGGGAATTCATTCATCAAATGAATAGTTCATAAAACTAGATTCGTCAACATCTTAATGACTAGAAATTGATATAACAAATAATTTATCATTTTTCCAAACATTAAATGATTGTGGTGCACGGCACTTATAAGTAGTATATGACGCGAGTAAAAACGTAATATCTGGCAGCAGAAGACGGGAGAAGATCAAGAAAGGAAGAGCGGGAACACAATGGGATTTGTATGAAACGCATAAATAGTGAAATGTCAGACAATGAATTGATGTTTACTACAGGAATTGATATTTTGCAAATTAATCATTTACGATATGGTTTTCCTATTTTACCAATTAACTCAGTAATTTGATATTAATACAATCCGGCTGCCCTCACCTGTGTTTTCCTTCACTACATGATGACTTTACTTTGATCACAAAATGTATGCGCCACTAATTAACTTTTTCTCATTGAAATCAATTACACTGATTGATGTAACATTTATGTCTGATCAATTTGTTCAACAATATTCGTATAGTGTTTCAGTTCGATGAAATGTTTATTTTGTTAGTTTCAGTTAGATAAAGTTGTTTGACAGAATAAGTGGTTCGTTGTAATGTCGGGTGACTAATTTAAAAAAGGGAAACTGTCAAATTAAATTCAGTGAATCAGTTTACTACACTTTCAGGGTATTTTGGCATGATCCTCATTTCTGACCCTCTCAATCGTTTTTTTATTCATCAATATACTGCAACTGATCCTCACGAGCACTACCTTCATTATCAGATACAACTGACTGAATATTTAGTGAATACCAACTGCGTATGGCCTCCAAGTGAGTGCTTACGAAACATGAATGAGTCATGTTGACGTCTTCTACTGTCCAGCATGCTTTGAACAGTACACTCCACTCCACTCCCTACCGTACTCTTTCCAAATCATATCAAGAATTGCAGGAGAATTATCCACAGCCTATTCTATCAACTTCTCAACTTATAAATGAGCACTGATCTATTGAAAATAAGATCATCATTGGACACTGATTTCATTCTCCAAACTAACAACCGATTAATTTATTTTCTCAACCTAAAATTAATTACACAGTAGAGAATTACTTATCACAACAAAGAACATATTCAGTAAAAATGTTCGAAAAGAATAAATTAGAAATCACTGACCAAAATAAAACTACCCTGTTCATAGCTCGTGAATCGAATAATGAAATTTCAGGATGATCAAATCATATAACAATCGAATGATTTTACATAAGTACATTGATATTTCGTAGAAATTAATCAAAGTAATTGGAAATTCACATACCAAATAAGAGTTGTATAACTAGTAAACATGTCAGCATTACAATTAACTTAATTCAATATGTACATAAATTATCTTGTTCCAATGACTAAAAATCCAAATCACTCGTGAAATACTAGTACACTTTCCGAAATCATCCCTAATACAATTTATATTCAACATCCGCCAACACATCAGAACAATTCTCTCTAGAAAGATAACAACTCAACTAACAGTTTATATACTCACATATTATCTATAGATAAAATGCATGATAAGTGAAAGAGTTGAAAAGTCACAGTACATATAATCTGTTACGGTAATATGTAAATAGATTCAAGTTATCAGGAATGTGCTACATGAATTCATGAGGAATTACTCTTGTGGTGCGCGCTACTTATAAGTAGTATATGACGTGAGTAAAAACGTAATGTCTGGCAGCAGAAGATGGAGGAAGATCAAGAAAGGAAGAGTCGGAACACAATGGGATTTGTATGAAACGCATGAATAGTGAAATGTCAGACAACGGATTGATGTTTTGCAACAGGAACAGTCCAGTTCGATATAATGGATTGATATTTTGCAAATTAATGATTTAAGATATGGTTTTTTTTATTTTACGAATTAACTCTGTAATTTGAGATCAATACAATTCGGTTGCCCTTACCTGCGTTCTCCTTCAATACACTTTGATTGTTTATCTATACCATTTATTGTGTAGTCATTTGTTAACATAGTTGATTCACAACTATAATCTACTGCATACTGATTGGTCTCCTCATCATTAATTAGTATTCACAAATTAATACCACCATTGATGAATATTTGTTAAATGAAAAATGTTATTGTTTAGTGCCTCATAGGTTGACCTTTCTACTTAGTGCTTTCGATTGCATGTCAATCAATTATCCACATATTAAAGTACACTACTGCCGTATCCATCACACTAACACAATTGCTCGGTGCCATTAAACTACACAAAAGTGCAATCAGCACACTTGGAAGAATGTATGCTTGAATCAATAGAATTGAAAACTCGTGAATCACGCTTTAACCAAAATCACTAACCGTTTGTCAATGCCTAAGCAGAATATGGTGTTAAAAACGTGACGACACTAAAAATATAGCTGCAACATACACTTTTCAGTCCAATTGACTGATAATCTATAGATATGATCAACTTAGTTAACTTTCAAACAAGAAAACATTGTCAAATGAAATTTTACACATTCAAAGACATTTCTCTAATCAACTGTCCCATATCTCATCATATGAGATAACATAAAAACAGTCTCCACATATAGATTGAATTCAGAATACAGTTTAATGATAATTCATTGATTTCATTCTATCCATTTTTTTTTCATGATTTCTTCACTCTCTCCTCAATATATGATGGCAGAATAATTAATTCTACACATAAATTGACAGGGTCAAAAGAATAATCATTTACATTCTTATTGTCATTAACCAAATGAGACATTTGATATTCGCACCAATCTCTTCCATATATGGTTATTAAGAATCTTGAGGAGGTATTCATTAACTATATACATACATCGACTGCCAAGCATAATAAAATATCACATTATGTATTATGAACAAAATACCAACTGATTAATTAATTAATTACAGAGAAAATAATTAGAATAAATTTAAAATTAAACCCAATTTATTATGATAAATAAATAAAATTAATGAAAGTCTAGTTTAAGCATTCTAAGTCAAATATCATCCATTTTCTATACAATCAATTGCTTCTAACATTCATCAATTCAATGATATAATAAAAGGTGGGGGGGATTTTACAAAACCAACATTGAAATTTGAATATGTACAATACAGAACAATGTGGTGGTCAAGCAATCAACATTTGACATAAGGTATTGATTTATTTAACTTCAAACAGTTTCAAATCAAAAGAACTAACAGATAAACAACCATTTCACAGACACATTTTACACGACAAGATAATATGTGATGATAAAGACAGGAAAAATGTTCATTTATTTACACAAACAGATAAATCAGAACTTATTTACATGGAGTAAGTAGTTAGTAAACATGTATTATTCATATATGTAGATTGCCTTTGTTTTTTTTACCAAACATTCAGCCTTTCGATAATAAGTTCAGTTTCTCAGACCAATATTGTTTCTTCATTTGGAGAATTTCAATCTTCAAATCTAGACATTTCAATTGCTTGCGAAACAATAACTCTGCTGCAACATTTTTTTCGCATACAGACCTATAAAAGAAAAACCCAGTCAGAATATGAACATCCATTTATTAGTACGAAGGAAATGTAGGACAGATGAAATAAATGCACAAGTCATCGGACATATGTATAAGTCATGTAATATGCTAAAGAACACAAATAATCCATAAAGATAACTATGTAAGATTTTCAATCATTATGCTCATTCCCAGTTAAGTCTGCACACGCCTATATTTACGATAATAATCAAGTTATCCAACACGAAACGAATACAGACGGTGGAATGGAACTAAGATACTTCAGTGAGATGGAACATGATTGTACGTAAGTAAACAATGCAATGGATGGATTATTTGTGTAGTTGACCGTTGTCTATCACTTTCGTTGTTTGAATAGCTCACTACTTGGATAAATCAAATACTACTGCTAAAAGTCTTGTTCTCACATAGTTACAGCTGGAGTTGTAACCAGTGCACATCTTCATGTTCACAAAATCAATAGCATCAAGCAGTCAAGAATATATGGTGGCAGTGGTGAAGAGTTAAACCAAAACCAATAGGAATAATACAAGGTGAAACGTATCAATTGAAAAGTGTCCTGCTTACATGATAGAATCCTTGGACTTTTGACCGGAATCCTCAACATGGTTTGTGTTCACCTGATCTCTAGTTTCACTCAACTCTGGATGGCTTTCTTCATCCTCACTTGACACTGATAAATCAATTGTTGTGGTCAAAGGAACGCCAATCGGTTGGTCAGATGATGACCTCGAGACATTCACTTCCGGAGGAAGAGATACGGCTGTAGTTGGGGTATTTGCAACTCCGAACGTGACACAAGAAACAGGAGTCAGTATTGCTACTCGGTTAAACGTCATCTCACTGACCATGTTGTTTGTGGTTGACTGAGGTACTCCAGAATCCTGTGAAATCGCGAAATGTTGGGGCACGTGAGCTGTCGAGAACGCGTTCAGTATTTTGGGACCGGTTGCGTGCAGAAGACTCGGTTGCACATGATTTGTAGGAGGGCTGAGTGATAAAGTGGGAGGTTTTGGGGTGGTGTTTACCACTGGTGACGGGGTGAGTGTTGGCAACTTGGGTCGGATCATATTTGACTGATTCGTAACAACCTGAATTCGATGAAAGGAATTAAAATGTCACTGGGCAAAGTGAACTTACCGAGTCATTTTGTTCGTTCATGTGTCGGTTAGCATTCGAAGTAGAGACCGTCGTGCGGTTTGAAGGATCATTTTCCGATGTCGCATGTTTATTATTTGTCGTCTTATCTAGTTTTCTGAGTATGTGTTGGCCTTTGCGACGCAGCTGAGTCCAGTTTCTTCTTGGCCACCCTCTCGAATGTAGATATTGTGAGAATTGCATCCACAAATGTTTCTGCATGAGTGCAGAAAACTGACTCTTGCCTTTCCAAACATCTTGATACTTCAATACCAGCTCAGTCAAATCATTCGCCTCCTCAATTGCGTATCGTTTGTTTGTCGCCTGTTTCGACGGTTCTGTTGGTGGCTTCGATGCACTACCCGACTTTTGAGGTGTATTAATCATTAGCAAGTGTTCTTTCAATGGCTGCGAAATGCAGATTCTACACGAGAGCGTGAGGTAGACAGATTAGTTTGGAAATTTCTTCAAACGACCTTATATTCTATGCACTTAATTACTATTGGTTGGTTTTTGTTGGTCTGTAATTCATTGGTTAGTCAATCAACCAGTGTTGTTGGTGTGTAATGTGCATTGTTAGTTTTGTTCGTATGTTTCGGATATCATGATCTAGCCACAGATTTTTATCTTGTTTTGGCGTATCGCATGTCTGATTGGTTAATTTAACTTTTTCAGACTTAGTTGACACATTCTGATGCTCTATTCTTACAACATTTCAACCAAACATTAAATTTCAAAGTATATTAGTACTAGATGTCATGAGTTTGATTAATCAGTATTCATTACAACAGTATTGTAGTGGACAAAATGATGTCCCATGTGAATTGCTTTACTATTAGAATCGGTAACGATGTGTCCTTCCACTCAGTGTACACTATAAAAGAACTTTTATGTTTACTTGTGTGACAAACATTCGATTTAGACGTTATTTGTATGTTAATTGTTAATCCTTTGTCCATTTGCATTTGGCCAATATCGATTCATGATTTCGATGAGACTCAACATTCTCCACAGCCTTATATTAATGTCTGTATATTGACATAATCAATTATACTGTTACCAAAATTTCAAATATAATTAATTATCAATGTAAGCTTCTGATCAAAAAACTTTGTTTTCTTTCTGAAATTTAGCCAGTTAGGTAGAGAGTATGTGGATTAAAATGAATTTTATTTTTTAGGATAAGATACAGTAATATTCGATTAAACAAGAGAATTTAAAGCGGTCAGTATATTCAAAATATCAATTTGGCGATTGCAGAACAAGGTCACATTCATGTGTGTTTGTAACACGCTCCTCTGTTATGTTTTTATTTTGAGGTTTCAATATGGGGGTGGACACATACTAGTCTAATGATTTTGTTGATGTAGCGATCTTTATCGAGCGAAATTGTTGGTTGTTAGTCTGAAATAATCAATAAGTGAATTTCTGGTATACATAAACCATAAAATTTAATGTTTAGCTGAATAATGGATAGAATAAGTGAGTGGACTTATTTTATGATGAATAAGAATATCATATAATCCGACAGCATCAAGAGTGTGATTAACCAATCACATGTGAGGCATAATTAAAAGGAGAGTAAAGTATGTGACTAGGCTTTATGTTATCAGACACAATCACATTCGATAAACTAAACAAAGATTCTTCATCATACCACTAACAAAGACCAAATTAGTAACTAATACTAATCAACCAATGGTATGTTGTATGATTAAAAATTTATTTATAATATGTGACTTCAATTTTAGGTTTTATCTATTTTCACAGTCTTACTGACCTTAGAATGGTTCATAATTAATCTACTCATTCAGGGTTTGGAATTTTAATGTTTCAGTATAGATCCATTCTAAAGTAAAGTTTGTGTTAACTGTTCAGATGATATTACCAAACCATTTCAATAATTTTAGAAGTAAGGTCATATTATCACTTTGTCTATTAGATGTTTGTTTTAATCATTAGTAGTGTTATGCATGAACTCAAATGAAGAGTTTTACAATTTGACGAATTGGCTTTGGAGTAATATCTTAATTTAGAGTTGTATTTTCAATATCTTTCCATGATATTAATTAATTAATTACAAATGAACTAATTTATGATACTGAAACTGTGACTAGGTTGCTTTCAAGTTGTTTAAGTTTAAAAACTCAGTGGAAATAGAGTAATCTATTACCACACCATACCTTTGTGTTCTGTGGACCGATTCAGTGGACGTTTTGGTACTTTATAACACTTGGACAACCAGTTATGCAGAATAGGATGCTTAAGAGACTGTATAAAGCTTATTGGTTAAATACACATATCCTGTGGGGTGCAGGAGTCGTGGATGCGCACTTCTGACGAGTCCCTTACCAGGACGAAACGGCAGTCCAGTGCTTCCGGGTTTATAAAGGTGGTCTAATATTGGTCGATTCATGGTTTCAAACGAAAACTTAACAATTTTCACAACAACCTCGCAATACATATATCATATCTAGACTGCTGCAAAATTTGGAATGAATCATACATAATACCAACACAAATTCTTTGATACTCACAGAAATTCGATTCGATAAGGCGTGTAGAACGTGTAATGTTTCTACGGGCCTATTACGAACATTTATCCCCAATCCGTTTAGACGAAAAGCTTTCGAAGCTCTGCATAATATATTGTATCCTGGTATAAAAGCCATAATCAAAGTTGGCAGCGAGCGTTTCGTATGGCCAAGTATGAACCAGAATGTTCGTGACTGAACGCAGACATGTATAAAATGCCAGAAAGTTGAAGTATATCGTCAAACGATTTCCACAGTAGGTCCTTGCCATCACCCTGATAGCAGGTCCGAACATATACATATCGATATTGCGGGACTACTACCGATCTTAAATGGCTTCAGTTATATTTTCATCTGCATCTACAGATTCACGTGATGGCCGGTAGTGGTGCCCATAAAAGGTATTTCAGTTTAGACTAAGGCCAAAACCCTAGTTCAGCATTGGATCTCCTATTGTGGAGTACCGGTCAGTATTATAAGCAGTAGAGGAGTTCGATTCGAAAGTCGCCTCGTCCAACATCTCACAGAACTCCTTGAAATCAGACGCATTCGTACAACATCCTACAGTCCAGTGGTGAATGGTATGGTGGAGTTACTACACCGGCAACTTAAAACCACCATTACAGCTGTTATTAGCAACAGTGGTTGTGCCAGTTAAGCTTCCACTATTCATGTACAGTTAAAGATCAACAAGATATAAGATGTTACCCAGCATAGTTGGTTTGTGGGACTACTCTCCATCCAGCAGGAGAATTTTCCACTTCAGAAAAAAAATATCCTAACTGATATAGCCAACTCTGTACAACGTCTAAAGCGGCATATGAGTGACTTAAAGTAACGCTTCCGAAGAAAAATCAGCATCGGGTATACATGCCGAAGCAACATCGCGACAGTGCCCATGTATTTATCAGAAGGGATAATGGGTAGCGTCCCTCTCAACCAACACCACCTGGAGCCCTTCTAGGGTTACTGCCGGTTCGAATCCCGGATAAAGCAAGGGGGTTGTGTATGGAGTTGGTGACTGCATTCTACAGAAAACTAGCTCGGCAAAAATACGCTAACCAGAAAAAATAGGTAAAACAATTTAAAGTCTGCCCTGGGAGCAGGGAGTTGTTCGTTTGGTAGAGTTACGACGTCTCATGATGAAAGCTGAGTTCCTTCAGAAGTCACGACTCGGATGCTCCTACTCACAACCAGAGCAACTATTAATTCAGATACATGGAATGTTCGTACATTGTGAGTGACTAGAAGAGTCATCGAAGTTGCTACAGAAATGAAAAAATACAACCTGATGGTACATGGAATCAGCGAAACACACTGAACAGAGGGAGAGAAGTTATTATATTCCGGACGGGAAGAAAAAAAATGCTCAACGTACATAAGGAGTTGCGATGATATTGTTCGGAGAAACATAAAATGCAGTGATAGGGTGGGAATCTCATGGACCCAAGATCATCGAAGCTTCTTTTGAAACATAGAGGGGATTACAATGAACACCATTCTGTACTGTGCCACCACCAACGATAACATTAAAGACGTTAAAGATCAATTCTGTGTGAGGCTGCAGTCAGTCGTTGAGAAGTGCTCAACAAAGGACTCGACCATCCTGATGAGACGTTAATGCCAAGATTGGAGTGGATAAAACAGGATACGAAGATATCATGGGATGACATGGACTGGGAGAAAGGAAAGAAAACGGTGAGAGATTTGCTAACCTCTGTGCCTTCAACAAACTGATAATCGGCGGCACAATATTCCCACAAATGCATATACATAGCTACATGGATTTTACCGGATCACACTATTCAGAACTAGATCGACCATATACGTATCAATAAAAAGTTCAGAAGGTACATGGAGGATGTGAGAGAGAGGAGCTGATATAGCATCAGGTCACCACTTGCTGGTTTCCAAAATGAAACTGAAACTCAATAAACACCGAAAAACAGGGTGGACAACATCAATAAGGTTTAACACGGCGTTTCTTCGGGATATTGGAAAGCTCAACGAATTCAAGTTCCAAGCCTTTCCTGATCTACTCAAATAAGGGGAAACTACGATGAATAACAACTAGACAGGGATCACGGAAGTAATCACTTCAGCATATTAGGAGGTTCAGGACGACAGGAAACGCCATCACAAGGAATTGATCTCTGTTAATACTCTGGAAAAGATTCAGGAAAGGAGGAAGAAGAAGGCGGAAATCAACATCAGCCAAATGAGATCTGACAGAGCCAAGGCGCATACTGAGTACGCAACACTGCAAGAGAAGGAAACTTGAGACAGTTGTACGATACGACAAAGAAGTTCGCTGGAAACTATCATAAACCAGAACGACCAGTGTAAAGCAAATAAGGCAAAGTAATCATCAACACCCGTGAACCACCCATGGACCTCCCACTTAATGTCGGCCTACCAATAATTGATGAGATTAGTATAACCAGCAGCAAAGCAGCTGGTCCAGACAACATTCCAACTGAGGCAATGAAAGCAGACGTGGTTGCAACTGCAAAAATACTCCAAATTCTCTTTAACAAGATGTGGGATGAAGCAAAGGTGCAAACAGACAGGAAGACACCATATCTAGGTAACAAAGAAGGGAGATCTCAGCAAAAGTGAAAACTATAGAGGCATCACTTTTCTCGTACTATCAGGAAAAGTCTTCAACAGGTTGTTGTTGAACCGAATGAAAGTTTCCGTAGACGCCCAACGTCGATAACAGCAGAGTAGATTCTGTAAGAATCGATCATGTGCCGACCGAATTGCTATACTACAGATCATTGTGGAATAATCATTTGAATGGAACTCATCAAACCACAACTTTATTGACCATGCGAAAGCACTGGACAGCGCAGAATGGGTGACCCTATGGAGGCTTCTTCGACAATAAAGTGTGTCTGAGAAGATAGTCAACATCATATGGAGTCTTTATGATGCATTAAACTGTAAGATAGTAACTGAAAGTCAGCTCACTGACTAGTTCAAAGTGAAGACCGGTGTCAAGTAAGGTAGGTTACTATCACTTCTCTTCCGTTTGATGATCGGCTGGATTATGAAGACGTCAATATCTGGAGGGTGGCACGGTAAACAGAGGACATTCAGGATGCAGCTGGACGATCTGAACTTGGCAGATGATCTAGCCTTACCACATACAAATGCAT